CACTTTTACTCTCGACTCAGGCACGTCTCGTTGCTTCTTCCGCGACAGCTCCACAGTCACACCGCTCACAGTCCCTGTCCCTGTCACACTAGCCGACCCCTCCGGGGGCCCGGTAGTTGCGCGTGGCGCCACTGTTCTCCCTTATCCGGCGGCCCCTTCCGGCCTCCTCACAGGTCTCCACCTCCCCTCATTCGCTAAGAACTTGGTGGCTACCTCTGTCCTCCAGGTGCAGTGGGTCACTGTCACCCAGCCTGGAGGCGAGCTGGTGGCGATCTGTAAGGACTCGCGCACTGGTGAGCACCTCGCCACGTTCACTCAGAGGCCTGGGTCTGGCCTGTACACACTGACCATTGAGTCTGCAGTGGTAGCTGAGTCAGGTCAGGTAGATGCGTCTTATTCGTGTCGTCTCCTCACACACCAGACTCTCCTCTGGCACCACCGTCTTGGCCACCTTTCCTTGCCACACCTGCGTGGCATGCACTCCCGTCTCCTTGTGTCTGGTCTCCCCAGGTCCCTGCCCCCACTTCCGAGGTCGCTTGCACCGCCCTGCCTTCCCTGCGTCGAGGGGCGGCAGCGCGCCGCTCCTCACTCCTCGTTTCCTCCTACCACTGCTCCTCTGCAGACCCTACACATGGACGTGTGGGGCCCTGCCCGCATCACTGGATAGGGTGGCGAGCGCTTTCTGCTGGTTGTAGACGACTACACGTGCTACACCCTGGTCTTCCCCTTGCAGAGCAAGGCGGATATCCGCAATGTCTTGATCCGCTGGATCCGCGCTGTCCGTCTCCAGCTTTGCGCTCGGTTCCGTCAGGACCTCCCAGTCCTGCAGCTGCACTCTGACCGAGGTGGTGAGTTTTGCTCCGGCCTCCTCAAGGACTTCTGTGGTGCTGAGGGCATCGTCGAGTCGTACACGCTTCCGGCCTCTCCACATCAGAATGGGATTGCCGAGCGCTGCATTGGTCTGGTCATGGAGGTTGCCCGCACCTCCATGATCCATGCGGCTGCTCCCCGTTTTCTGTGGTCATTTGCGGTTGGATACGCCGCTGCGCAGCTCAACCTCTGGCCCCGTGTCTCCCACTCGGAGACCTCCTCCACTTTGCGGTGGACGGGCAAGGTTGGTGATGCGTCGGCGTTTTGGGCTGGGGTTCCCTCTCTCTTGTCCGCGATTTGCCCGCGTGCAAGCTCCCTCCATGCACTCTTCGGTGCGTGTTCCTTGGCTTTCCCATCGACGCACCGCCCTGTCAGTTTTACCACCCGGGCTCTCGTCATGTGCTGTCCTCCCGCGACGTCACCTTTGACGAGTCTGTCTGCTTCTACTATCTTAACCCCCACGTAGTTCCCCGGTACCCCTCCCGCCTCTCTCCCTGGTGGACGAACCCCCCTCGGTAGCCCCCCTCCCTCCTCCCGGTCCCGCTCCCTCAAGTGTGTCTCAGGTAGACCCACCCCCCTTGGTTGAGCCTTTGGAGGTCTCCTCAGACACCTCTGGCTCAGCTGAGGGGGGTGACCAAACTGCTACCGACACCATGGCCCCTCGCCGCTCCGCGCGCTTGGCGGTCCCTCCTGGTTTTCAGCCTCGACCATCTTCACCGCCTCTGCGGCCCGTCGCTGTGGACTCTGGTGCTGCTGGAGGTGGTGACACAAGGGGTGCGGACTCTGGGGGTGCGTGCTCTGGGGGTGCTGCTAGTCCTACGGGTGCAGGGGGTGCAGGAGGTGCTGCTACTGGAGGTTCTGCGGGTGGAGGTGCTGGTGGTGCTGGTGCTGGTGGTGCTGGTGCTGGTGGTGCTGGTGCACGTCGGCAGGAGACTCTCTCGCCAGGGTAGCTTCGCGAGTGGGCTGTCCATTGGGGCGGTCCTGGTGGTGGCGCTAGACGTGCTAGAGCTGCAGGTTCTGGAGGTGCTGGCCCTGGAGGTGCTAGTGCTGGTGTTCCTGGAGTTGGCCGTGCCCGAGGTACTAGTGTTGGAGGCACAGGTGCTACTGGAGGTACTGGAGGTGCTGCTGCTATAGGTGCTGCTGCGGGTAGTCCTGGCTCACGACGCCAGGAGCCTCTCTCGCCGGAGCGGCTTCGCAAGTGGGCTGCCCGTTGGGGCAGTCCTGGTGGTGGCGCTGGACGTGCTGGAGCTGCAGGTTCTGGAGGTAGTGGAGGTGCTGGCCCTGTAGGTGCTAGTGCTGTTGTTCCACGAGTTGGGGGTACTGGCGGTGCTGACACTGGAGGTGCTACTGGAGGTACTGGAGTTGGTGGTGCTAGTCGGCAGGAGTCGCTCTCGCCGCAGCAGATTCGCGCGTGGGCTGTCCGTTGGGGCAGTCCCTGTGGTGGAGCTGGTGGTGCTGGTTCTGCGGGTGATGTTCCTACTGGGCCTCGAGGTTTTGGGGGTGTGACTACTCAGCGCTTCGACTTCTCGTGGTCCTCGCCACAGCCCACTCCTCTGTCTACCGGCCACTCGCTCTCAACTCCACCTTCGGACGAGTCCGTAGAGCCGAGTGGTCCGTACTCATAGCTTGTGGGTTGCCTCATGTATCTGATGACGTACACACGACCTGACCTCGCGTACCCTCTCAGCCTCCTTGCTCGCTACGTGGCTCCCGGTAGACGCCGAAAGGTGCAATGAGAAGCTGCGAAGAGGGTATTGCGTTACTTGTGCAGTACATCGGGTATGGGGCTCGTGCTTGGAGGATGGGGTTCAGTTGTTCTCACCGGTCACTCAGACGCTTCTTGGGCTGATGACCAGACGACTCACTGGTCGACACAGGGGTACAGTTTCAGCCTCGGCACTGGTTCTGTCTCGTGGAGGTCCACTCGCTCTTCTTTTGTACTTAGTTCCAGCTGTGAGGCCGAGATCTTTGTTGGGGCTATGGCTGCACAGGAGCTCCGCTGGCTGACCTACCTGCTGACCGACTTGGGTGAGCAGCCTCGTTCTCCTCCAGTTTTGTACGTCGACAACAAGGCCATGATTGCCTTGTGTCAGGACCAGAGACTGGAGCACAGAACGAAGCGCATTGCTCTCCGTTACTTCCTCACGCAAGAGCTGCAGCAGCGTGGTCAGCTTCATCTTGCTTACGTGGCCACACAGGCCAACACTGCTGATGTCTTCACCAAGGCCCTTGGGTCTAGTGATCATCAGCGTTTTTGCATTGCTCTTGGACTTGTGCCCACTCTGCCTCACTTGCTTGTCTCTTGATCTTGCCTTGCACTTGTTGTACTCTGATATATATGATTATACCTGCATGTTTGCTCTTGCTAGGTTGTGAACTGGCCTTGTGGCCGCTTGCTTGTGCTCAGAATGTGTGGTGATCTTGAGATCCACCCTGAGCTTTGCTTAGCTTTGTTTTCTTGCTTGACTGGTCTTGTGACTGTCCGTTGTGTTTGCTATCCCCCACTTAGCCTATGGGGGTGTGTCAAACTATGTTTGTATGCTCTAGGCTGTAGTGGGGCAGACTCTAGTGAGTACAACCCCTTAGGGTTTCCTGCTTGTACTCTTATTCCTACTCAATACACATCACTTCTTGACAGACTATGCTGTATCTCATCAAACAGCTACACCCGCAACACGCCCTAATCCCCTATCCCGCTGCACCCACCTCTGCTAGTGTACACATACTGGTTTTGTAGATGTTTTGTATGTGTACTTTGTAGGCTAGGTTATGTTACACTACAGAAGGTATGGAATGTTATATCTAAACCCTGGATGCCCTCATTAGTTCATTCTTTCTGTTCTTCTTAATCCCCACCCCCCATATGCGATCTAATCTCCATTCTAACATGTTTTTTGAAGGAGAATTACTGCTTTTATATAATGGTCAAGGAACAACAAATATACTTCCCAATGTACCTAACAGCTGAAGTTCATACAGTGACTGACATACAGTGCTAGGTTGTGAACTGGCCTTGTGGCCGCTTGCTTGTGCTCAGAATGTGTGGTGATCTTGAGATCCACCCTGAGCTTTGCTTAGCTTTGTTTTCTTGCTTGACTGGTCTTGTGACTGTCCGTTGTGTTTGCTATCCCCCACTTAGCCTATGGGGGTGTGTCAAACTATGTTTGTATGCTCTAGGCTGTAGTGGGGCAGACTCTAGTGAGTACAACCCCTTAGGGTTTCCTACTTGTACTCTTATTCCTACTCAATACACATCACTTCTTGACAGACTATGCTGTATCTCATCAAACAGCTACACCCGCAACACGCCCTAATCCCCTATCCCGCTGCACCCACCTCTGCTAGTGTACACATACTGGTTTTGTAGATGTTTTGTATGTGTACTTTGTAGGCTAGGTTATGTTACACTACAGAAGGTATGGAATGTTATATCTAAACCCTGGATGCCCTCATTAGTTCATTCTTTCTGTTCTTCTTAATCCCCACCCCCCATATGCGATCTAATCTCCATTCTAACATGTTTTTTGAAGGAGAATTACTGCTTTTATATAATGATCAAGGAACCACAAATATACTTCCCAATGTACCTAACAGCTGAAGTTCATACAGTGACTGACATAACATCTACAGGGATGTTGCCGCCAACAGGATAACACAAACGGCGCAGCCACTTGTGCTCGAGCTGGGTTCAACCAGCACGACTCGAGGAGATCGGGAGGGAGCTTGCCTGGGTAAAGACGATCTTGGCGGCGAATAGCATACGGTAAGAGAAGCTAAGACCCCTGCTGAAGTACTCTGCTGCTGAACTGAACTAAAAGGGAAGGGCCAATTTACATGGGAGGGCCAAACCCAAAGTCAGCTGATAGAACCCGTGGCATGAAGAACCCCATCCGCCTCTTCTCCTCCTCCTCCCTCGCCTCCTCGTCCCGCCTCTCCTCCTTCTCCTGCTTCTCAACTGTCCTCTCCTCCCTCTCTCGCACTGCATCCAACCCCTCCTGCCCCTCACGTCCATCCAACATCCCCTCTTCCTCCGGCTCTTCATCGATTCCCTCTTCTTCCCCCCTCCACCTATCTTCACCCTCCTCACTCCCTTTTTCGTCCTCTTCCAACCCACCACCTCCACTCCCCACATGCCTCGGTCTCTTTCGAACAGGTGTGAGAGAGTGAGGGAGAGGAGGCAAGGGGGGGAGAGCTGTGTCATCCACACCAAGGGAGTGCTGCGCTTGCTCCAGTCTCTCCCTCGCTTGCAGCATCTCCTGCTGTAGGTACCGATGACGGGTCGTTGCTTCCTGGGATGAGGCAGAGAAAGCGGAAATGGCAAGATAGAGAGAGAGGAAGTCATGAGAACGAGGGCTCAGGCTCGAAACACTAGGGCAATGCAGACAGGAGGTGACAGTAAGAGACAGGAGGCTTGAAACAGTAGCGGTGGAGATCACAGCGGAGACTGCAGCACAGTGCATCCAGACTTGAAGTGCTGGTGCAAAATGGTTCCTGCAGCGCGTGACGAAAGCTGGGTGGAAGATGTGTGAGGAGCGTGTATGTGAGGACAAATATATGCGTCAGTATCCCGGTTGAGAAGGACGGGTCGGTGATAGTTGTGTCTGTGATCCATGTCTCGCCCAAGTCTGGATGATGATGAGAGTGAGGACAAATGAGGGCGTTATACACCTCGACTACAGCTATGCTGCTGCAGGCTGTCGGGGAGGAAGGAAGGATGTCAAGTATCTAATCTGGACACTTTGTCCCCCACTCTCGGTCCTCACCCCAATCTCTTTGCTTCTTGCTATTCTCTCACCTTCTCCGACCTCCTCCAACTCCCCCTTCTCAGTTGGCAAGCATGCCCACTCTCTCCCGTGCAATCTTACTACACTTCCTCTCCCTTTTGTCACACGCCTCAACCTCCTTTCTCACTCGCCTTCCGTTCTTACACTCCCTTCTCCATTGCAGCTGCCCTCACCTCTCACCTCCCCAACCTATCACCTCCCCCAGATCTCACCCCCCCCCACCCTCTCACTTCCCCAACCTCTCACCTTCCCCAGCTTCATCTCCCCCCACCTCTCAACTCTCCCCACGTCTCACCTCCCCCACCTCTCACCTCCCCCAGCTCTCACCTCCCCCAGATCTCACCTCCCCAGCGCTCACCTGCACCTCTCTTCTGTGCGCCTCCTCCTTCCTGGCCTCTGCCCGCCCCCCTCCGCCACTATGATGCTGCCGCCCATCTGGAGGAGAAAAAAGGGAGCAAATCAAGAGGCCAAATGTCAAGGAGGAATGCTCGGGTTGTGGGAGGAGCGGCTGGCATGGCCCTGCTTGGCCATCTCTGCCACTATGATGCTGCCGCCCATCTGGGGGGAGGGAGAGAATGAATCAGAAGGCCCAGATGTGAAGGAGGAATGCCAGGACTCCGGGAGAGAGGTTGGTGACCTGCTCGCATGGCCCTTGTTGCCCACCTCTGCCATCTGGAGCGATGGGAAGGGACGGAATGAAGAGTTTGGGATGGGAGAGTGGGATGCTGGGATGCTAGGATGCTGGGAGAGAGGCTGGATGGCCTTCTCTGCCATTCTGTGCTGCCTTCCAGGGTTTGTCCAACCGTGCATGCTTGGCCATGTCAACGATTGTGCTGGTCACGGCTCCCTAGGGGGAGAGAGATACCCTTGCAGGAATGAATCGTTGGTGCATCCGCTGGTCAAACCCGCGCGTCAAGCATTGCTGTTGTGTCGAAAAGGGAAGGACGGATGGTGGGACACAGCATGGGCATACGACCGCAACGGGTTCTATTCTATTGTGACGAACGTGGGCAAGCATGACTGCACCTTTCTTCGCATCACCGAGACCCGAACACCAACACCTCCTCTCTTGGCATCACCTAGGTGGTGTTCACTTGGACTCACCCCTCACCCCTCACCCCTCACCCCTCACCCCTCACCCCGAACACAAAGAGCTCCCCCAGCAGGTGCGCCGCCAGGTCAACAGCCCCCTCCTCGTTGAGCGGGCGGATGGGCAGGTGGCGTGGCAGTGCCCACCCTCACCCCACGTGTGATCACACCCACTCCTCTCCTCCCACCACCTCCCACCTCACCCCGAAGACGAAGAGCTCCCCCAGCAGGTGAGCCGCCAGGTCCACAGCCCCCTCCTCGTTGAGTGGCCGGATGGGCAGGTGGCGGTGCTGCCTGTCGTGCTGCCGCGTGTCCAGCCGCCTGTGCAGACGCACGTTCATGCGATGGAAGGCCTGGTGGGGTGGGGAAGGGAGGAGGAATGGGATGTTGGAGAGTAGATTCGGTTAAGAGTGGTTCTACGTGGCGAGAAATGCAGAGCTGTTTGTCCTGCCCCCTGTGCAGGCACACGTTCATGTGGCTTCTAAACCACTTACTTCGCTGCGGCACGGGAGGAGGAAGAACGGATATCCACGACACGCTACGGGATGCAAGATCCCGCATCGCCCAAGATGCGGGCTTCATCGTCCACAAGGAGACGACTGTTTTCTGCATTTTGAGTCGACTCAAAAGAACGGATACCCACAACACGCTACGGGATGCAAGCACGGGAACCCGCATTGCCCAAGACGCGGCGCGGGCTTCGTTGTCCCAAGGAGAACAGGGACTGGTGCTGTTTTCTGTGCCCCGTGGACGACCACAAGGCTGATTTGGCAATTCGGGACAGAGATTCTGGTGCTGCTTGGATCTGCAACATCACAATCACAGATCCCATCAGCACCAGAGACCCCCGGGCACAGAAAGGTCGGGGGTGGGCAGCACAGGAAGCAGCGAAGAAGAAAGTATACCATTACCGGAACAGAGCAGAGTACATTGGCCTCTCCCCCCTGATTGTTGACACTTATGGCTGCCCGTGTGGGGAACTCTCCGCGTTTCTGAGACTCATGGTGGACACGACGGCAAGGGGACTCTTTAATGCCGACCTTACAACGTCCGAGGCAGCAAAGCTGTTGCACCTGTCTTCCGCCAGCGATGGTCCGTCGAAATACAGCGGGGGCAGGCCATCAGCTGAATGAAGCGACACAGGCCGAGAACCCACCCATTGGAGGGCCAGAGGACGTACTCTCACCTGAAGAGTGCTTCATTGCCTGGGGAGCAGGGGCTGAAACTCCCTTAGAGAGAGGTCCCTGAAGTAACCATGTTTTCTGCGGGTTACATTTGCTTGCCTAGTAGCTTTCAAGAACACCACTAGCTCAGCCGCCCTCTATCTCTGATTGTCCCTTTGCCTTATCATTACAATGACCGCTTTAGTGGTTTTACAGTGCTGCGCACCCAGGCTCAAGGGGGGGAGGCGAGGTTTATGAAAGAGTAGGAGAAGGCATGGTGAGGTGAGACAGTAATGCCTCGATGCCCTATCTTCCCTGGCTCACAGGGTACCTGAGAGCTCACCACCTGATAGCACACCTGAGCACGCACCTGTGCGACTCAGTATCAGAACCCATGCACACCCGGGTTCCAGCCTGAGAGCACGAATGAGAGCAGACCTGAGATCAAACCAGAGAGCCTACCTGAGAGCACACCTTGGCGAGGAGCACGCCTACCTGAGCGAGGAGAATGACTTTCTCTCGGAACCCTGTGTCATGCGCCGCAGCAGCCGCGACGGTGAGCTTGATGGGCGCGCCGATCGTCTCCACCAGCGCCGCCAGCAGCCGCAGATGCACCGGCAGCATCGCGCGCGCGACCCGCCTTCCTGCGCTCGTCTCTGTTCAGCGACACCTCGCCGATACGTGCGTGGCGAGCGGCGGGCACACCGCGCGCGGCTGGAACGGCCGCGCGTACGGACCGTTTATGACGCCGCGGCTCGCGACGCGGCGAGCATGGCTGGCCCTAACAGGTGTGTCTCAGGCGCTCCGGGAAACAGGCACGGGACGCATCGTCGAGGTAACAGGATGAGAGACACGCCGCGTATCGAGAGGTACACTGACAGGAGAGGCGAACGATGCGACCTAAACGCTCCCGCTGTAAATACCAGCCTCAGCCTCCCGTATTTTCACGTTCTAAATAATGTGACATACGGTGGATATCTAAATCGACGGCGAGTTTTGTTCTCGATCGAAAATGGGAATGAAGTGGGAATGCTGTTTGAGGTCAGCAAAAAATACGGTGGTCTTTATTTCGATAGCTACTTTTCTAGACTTGCTCGGTTCACAGCAAGTCATTAGTCTGCAGTGGTTGACGGGTGGGATGGAAACTGGTTGAAAGTAAAGATTGAACTGTCACCGTCGATGTTGTGCAGAAAATACTATAGCAAGTCTGATTGGTCTGGTGCTTGCCGAAAATGCGGCCACACCACAGCACCACAGCACCCTGATTCCTCAGTGTTCGGAGCTGTCAGAAGGTGTGATGTAAGGCGAAATTCGATATAGGTACCTTCAAGCTTATGGCATAACTATTGCTGTGTGATGACATCTGTAATCAAGGCAATCTGTGATCCACAGCTTCGAGATTGCATTTCGTATCTTCGAAATTCGCCCTAACATAGTTGATCTAGTCTTGTGCTGGACAAATTTTGACAGAGTTGATGGTAGTGTTTTGGACTACTTTCGAGATTCCATTCGTCTCTCCATTCGTCCCCACTGTGTTGCGAGTCGCGACTTCATGCCTGTTAGGGTTGGTTCGACGAACCACGGAACCTACGGTGAAATGCGGAATGGCGGCGGAATGGAGCTCGTGGGAGATTCTAGAGTGATTTCGGTAGAAATCGGCCTACGGTGGACGTTGGAAGCTAAGGCGTGAAAAGCGGGAGAGAAATCGGGAAGAAACTGGAGAAATGAAGGAAGAAGAGTGGAGAAGAATCGAGAATGAGTTCGACGGGGGAAAATGTGGTTCGAGACCAAGGCGTGTTCGAGAAATTTCCAGATTCGGGCTCAAGGAGTGTTCGGTGAATTCGGTTCGGTTGCGTGTGCGACTCGGGGTGAAACGAGGCGCACGCGGTTACTTGGGAAACAAGTGAAGTTACGAATCGCATTTTGTGACTTGCTTGACTATAAAACTGCTTGTACTCATTCTGGAAAACACAACTTGGAGATTCTGAAAATTGCTGAAGTGTGTATTGACAACTTCAAGCAGAGCTGCGCATATCATTGGATTCGTGAGATCGTGGAGAACACGATAAGCAATAGCAAGTAGACTATTGCCGACTAAGGTGCTTACGATCCTAAGAACTGGTATCAGAGCTTGGCGAACGGGCGCGTCGATCGCGGTGAATTCACTTGGTGCGCTAAATGAAATTAGTGGAGAAGAGGAGTCGTTCACGCCTACGCCATGGGAGACGAGGCGAGTTCGGGTTCCAGTGTGAGTCTTGGAGACCCGCAGTTGAAGGCTCTTCTCGAGGCCCTTGCGAGTGGCCGATTGGTGGCGAAACCGACGATCGGGCTCAGTGCAGCCCAGCGCTTCAATGGAAGCAACTACAACGTGTGGCGAAAGAAGTTCATTCGAAGGGCAGAGGAGGTGGACCTCTTGCCGTACTACCGTCCCGACGAGGAGACGATGGAGGGAGTTGCGCCAAGGAGAAAATAGCGGCGTTCAAAAAACAAAGTAAGCAAGCGTTCTTTCAGCTTTGTCACTCAGTTGCCGATGGAATCGCGGTGGATTTGGACCAGTTTGCAGGGGAGCTGAACTCTGCACAGAAAGCATGGGAGTACCTGGAGTCCACGTACATGGGCACCAACGATGTCAACAAGAAGGCGATCAGGAAGCAGCTGCTGATGCTGAGCATGGAGAAAGGCGAGAAAATCATCACCTACATCAACAGGGCGAAAAGCTACAACGACGATTTGCGGGTGATGGGAGCCGCGGAGACGGAGCATGAGATGATTGACTATATCATCCAAGGCCTTCCTAAGGAGTGGGAATCCGACATCGGTATGTTTACGTACCAACCGCCGGAGAGTTTGACGAAGCTGCAGGAGATTCTGCAATCGCTTGAGACGGTGAAGGAGATGAGGAAAAAGAAAGCGGCAGCAGCAGCGGAATTAGACGAGGAGAGGTCGGCTTTGGTGAATGCAACGAAGGCGTTTGGAGCATGCTACCAGTGTGGAAAGAGGGGGCATAAGGCGATAAACTGCTACGAAAATCCGCGAAGCAGAAACTACAAGGGCAAAGCGGTGGAGAACGATAAAGGAGAAAATGGGGGAGCGGAGTGGCAGCAGAAACGGGGTTTTGGCGGCAAGTGCGACTATTGTGGGCGCTATGGACATCGTGCCGCAGAGTGCTACTCCAATCCGAACAGCAGGAGCTACAAGGGTCCGTCGCAGCAGAGGATTGTGGCGGGTAAGGCGAATGTAGCGGAAGCCGAAAAGGAGGATGTGATTTTGGGAGGAGCGCATCGTGCGAACGTGGTGCGTTTACCGAAGGATGTTCGTCAGACGGACGGACGTGAGAAGACGGCATGGTTCATGGACAGCGGATGCATGCGTCACATGACATTCAGGTCAGATTGGATGGAGAACGTGAGGGAGTCGAGTGAGGATTATATACTGCAAGGTAACAGTGTGAAGTTGCCAGTGACAGGAGAGGGTGACGTGGTGCTGCAGAGTCCGTATGGAGAGGTGAAACTGGAGAGTGTGCTGCTGGTTGAGGATTTAAAGGTGAACTTGGTCAGTCAGTCACAGCTTGATGACTTGGGGTGCAAGATATTCTATGACAGTGGTGAGGTGACTGTGTTTGGTCCTGAGTGGGAGAAGTATGCTGATGGTTACTTCAGTGACGGGTTCTATGAGATGAACTTGGTCGCGATGAAGGGCATAGATGAGTTCTATGAGGACCGAGAGTATCCTGAGATGGGAGAATTGGAGGAGTTATCGAATGAGGCTGATAAGAGCGAGGACACGGATGATACGGGAGCAAGTGTGGAGGCAGCAGAGAAGCAGGAAGAGGAGATAGTCACCATGGAGGCAGCAGCAGTGAATGGTGGAGATGGAGATGGTGTCAACACTTTTGCAGCAGCGATCGTGGTTGAAGATGAAGCAGTAAATGCAAAGTGTGTGGGAGTCGCTGTGAAAGGGGACATCATGGTGAAGGGATCAAAGGCGAATGCAACTGCAAAGGGTAGAGTGCTTACGAAAGAGGAACACGTTGAGGGGTATGAGACCCGAGAGGTGTTGCGTGTTGAGATGCCGAGGAGCAGCGAGAGGATCAAGAAAATCTCTCAAGGTTTGGATGTCAAGGCGCTCAACTTCAAGACACGTAAGCAGAGGTTCAAGGTGCAGGAGCTGCAGGGGAGTGTGAAGCCGACCTAGACCCTGTGAAGGCTACAAGGAGCAGGGGAGGAGTGCGAGTGGAGTTCGTGGTTGACGAACCACAGGGGAGATTGTTAGGGTTGGTTCGACGAACCACGGAACCTACGGTGAAATGCGGAATGGCGGCGGAATGGAGCTCGTGGGAGATTCTAGAGTGATTTCGGTAGAAATCGGCCTACGGTGGACGTTGGAAGCTAAGGCGTGAAAAGCGGGAGAGAAATCGGGAAGAAACTGGAGAAATGAAGGAAGAAGAGTGGAGAAGAATCGAGAATGAGTTCGACGGGGGAAAATGTGGTTCGAGATCAAGGCGTGTTCGAGAAATTTCCAGATTCGGGCTCAAGGAGTGTTCGGTGAATTCGGTTCGGTTGCGTGTGCGACTCGGGGTGAAACGAGGCGCACGCGGTTACTTGGGAAACAAGTGAAGTTACGAATCGCATTTTGTGACTTGCTTGACTATAAAACTGCTTGTACTCATTCTGGAAAACACAACTTGGAGATTCTGAAAATTGCTGAAGTGTGTATTGACAACTTCAAGCAGAGCTGCGCATATCATTGGATTCGTGAGATCGTGGAGAACACGATAAGCAATAGCAAGTAGACTATTGCCGACTAAGGTGCGTACGATCCTAAGAATGCCACAACTGTTTCAGGCCGTCCCTAGTAGCTCGGGTGTTTTTATATCGGATATCAACTCCCAATAGGTCCGCCTGGTGCTGCCTCGCTGAAGATCGTCTCGCTGAGCGACTCAAACGAGTCGCAGAGGTTGTGAATCGCACGTCGCACATGGCGGCGACGTCGCTGGACGATAGCTGGCGAGCCTTGGGGTTGCACGATCCACCGTCGGCGATCCTTGATGACGTCATCAACGCTGTACGAGCCCTCATCCAGCGTCTCATTCACCTACAGCATCTCGCCACGTGTCTCGCGCTAAACAGCAAACGCGTCGATTCAACTTTTAACGGCCGAGAGAATAGGCTCTGTAGAATGAACCGGCCGACATCGGTTGACTGCCGTTGACTCTGCGTTCGTCCAGCACCCCGCACGTCAGTGACCGTGGTTGTCGTACATGCTCAGCGTCGTGTCTTCTTGAGACACCTCAAAAAAATAGTCAAGCACCCTCCACGCCAGTCACAGTAGCTGTCGTACGGGTTCACCATCGTGTCCCCACCGCGTCCCCACCGTGTCACCACCGCGTCACCATCGTGTCCCGCCGCCACTCTCGTGAAGGTAGATTTGTTTTGAGTCGTCTCACAAGATTTACTTTCACCTGACTGCCGTTGCCTCTGTGTCGTCGAGCACCGTGTTGTCTCCACATCAGTCACTGCCGTACGGATTCAGCATCAAGTCCCCACCGCCGCTCCACACCTGCATTCGCTATCTGCTTGTTGCCGAGGCGGCAGGGAGGGAGGAGGCAGTGGGTTTGGAGTGTCTAGGTGCGCTGAATGCGTGGGCCCGCGGGATAGCTAGTTTTGAAACGTCCGGACTAACTGAGTGCGACAGTCACCAAACCTTCGTCTCCTGTCTCTTATTCTTCCCCTCCGTTCCGCCTGCTCCCCCATTCCCCCCTCGCCCCCGTTCCGCCTGCTTTCCCGTTCCGCCTGCTCCCCCGTTCCCGCTGCTCCCCCGTTCCCCTGGTCTGCCACCCCCCCCTGCTCCCCTGGTCGTGCGCGGGACCCCAGGTGCACGAGACGTGGCTGGACGGTATTGAGGAGCTGCGCAGGTGAGGTGTGAGCTGTGAGCTGGCTAAACTGTGGGGCGGACAGTGTGGGGAAGAGAATTGGTGGTGGAGATTGGGTGTAGAGCAAGGGGTGCATCGATTTTCCAGAGGCCAACCCGTAGCAGTAAATAGAAAGAGGGTGAAGGTGCGTGGGACCGCAGATGCATGAGACGTGGATGATGGTGTTAGGGCAGTGTGACCGCAGGAGCTGCGCAGGTGAGGTGTGAGCTGCCGACAGTGTAGGGGAAGAGATTGGGTGGGGGAGAGTGGGTGGGGGAGGGTGGAGGAGAGTGGGTGGAAGAGAGTGGGTGGGGAGAGTGGGTGAGGGAGAGTAGGAGGGAGAGTGGGTGAGGGAGAGTGGGTGAAGGAGAGTGGGTGGGGGAGATAGGGTGGGGGAGATTGGGTGGGGGAGATTGGGTGGAAGAGAGATTCAGTATTTTTCTCTTCCCTTATTCGTTTAAACCCCTCTAGTCATTTCATTTTTTATTAGATCACCTTATCGTCCCTCTGTGCCAAGTTGTGCAGTCTTTGCTTTTTCGCCCTCCCCTCTCACATTCTACATGTACTGATGCTGTCCGTTGCCATTTGCATACTCTTTTGGTTATGTGATTTGCCTGTTGGCATGCCGGAACATGCTTTGGCATGGCGTGGCGTGGTGTGACGTGGCGCGGCGTGACATGACACGGTGTGACGTGGCATGACGTCGTGTGACGTGGCATGGCATGTGTACAACTACAGCTGCATCATGGAGAAGTGTCCCGAGGGGGGAAAGTCGAAGCTGCAGCAGGTGAGACTGACGCTCTGACTGACTGGCTGACAGACGGACAGTCATTGACTTTTTCTTTAACGCCCCTCTGGTTGGATGTATTTGTATATCTATGCCTATATATAAAGGTGTATAGATGTATAAATATCTTTATGTATATGTATCGTTATGGATGTGTACTCCGTACATAGATTCCCCCTCTTCAATCCCTCCCCATCCTTCCATCCCCATGTACACATCAGGACCTGGATGAGGCGTACCATCTGGTGGAGCAGCAGTGCATAGAGCCCTTCAAGACAGGCTCACTGGCTGACTGGTATCTCTTCGTCTTCTTGTTTGTATTTCCCCGTCCCATCTTGTTCACATGCACACATCAGGACCTGGATGGGGCATACCATCTGGTGGAGCAGCGCATAGAGGAGCACATGGAGGCCTTCAAGACCCGCGCCCTCGCCACTGCCTTCGCCCTGCCCCCCTCGCTACAAGCACACCTCGCCACGTTGGATGGGGAACAGAGGGTAGCTGCGCCAGCTGGCAGTGAAGTTGGAGCAGGGGGGGGTGATGACCTGGCGGCTGAAGCGGCGGCTCTTGATGCTGAGCTGGCAGAGCTCAATGCCACGCTGGTGAAGGTGCAGAGTGTTATCCACCTGTGCTGTTGCTTTTTTTTACTCACTGTTATGCTTTCCTCCCTCCTTGCACTTCTGCTCATTCACTTCACTCCCCTCCTCTATCCCTGTGCAATTTTATACATGTACAAATCACTACCTTCCTTCTCCCCAACACAAGCTGCTCTGTTTCGTCGTCCTTTTTCTCTTCCTTTCCCTTTTCATCTCACTCATTTCCTCTCTTCTTATCTCTCGCCTTTTTTACTTTTTGTCTACGTTAAGTTTCTCCCTCTTCTGCACACTCATTTCGTTCCCTTCCCTTACAATCTCACTCATTTCCTCCGTTCTTCACCTGTCCCTATCGGCCTTTCCCACCCGTGTGCGCCCCACCCTTCCCCACCCACGTGTGCCCCCCTTTCCCCTTTTCAGAAGAGAGCAGCGCTGCGAGCGATGAGGCGGCATCAGCGACAGCAGCAGGAAGCATTGGGCAGTGAGGGGCAGCTGAAGCAGTTGCAGCAGATGATGCGAGGCGACCACAGTGGTGGGTGATGTGTGCATGGGTGCATGGGTGATGTGTGCATGGGTGCATGGGTGATGTGTGCATGGGTGTATGGGTGATGTGTGCATGGGTGCATGGGTGATGTGTGCATGGGTGCATGGGTGATGTGTGCATGGGTGCATGGTTGATGTGTGCATGTATGGGTGCATGAGGGAACGGTCAAAAGTGAAGCAAGAACCAGGCGGCAGTGAGCAGTGAGGGGCTGCTGCAGGTGCGGCAGCAGATGTTGCGAGGCGACCACAGTGGTGGGTGAGTGCTTGTGGATGTTTGCGTGTGTGCATGTGTGCATAAGTGCATGTTGTATGTGTGCATGTGTGCATAAGTGCATGTTGTATGTGTGCATGTGTGCATAAGTGCAAGTTGTATGTGTGCAGGTGTGCATAAGTGCATGTTGTATGTGTGCATGTGTGCATAAGTGCATGTTGTATGTGTGCATGTGTGCATAAGTGCATGTTGTATGTGTGCATGTGTGCATGTGTGCATGTGTGCATGTTGTATGTGTGCATGTGTGCATGTGTGCATAAGTGCATGTTGTATGTGTGCATGTGTGCATAAGTGCATGTTGTATGTGTGCATGTGTGCATAAGTGCATGTTGTATGTGTGCATGTGTGCATAAGTGCATGTTGTATGTGTGCATGTGTGCATAAGTGCATGTTGTATGTGTGCATGTGTGCATAAGTGCATGTTGTATGTGTGCATGTGTGCATAAGTGCATGTTGTATGTGTGCATGTGTGCATAAGTGCATGTTGTATGTGTGCATGTGTGCATGTGTGCATAAGTGCATGTTGTATGTGTGCATGTGTGCATGTGTGCATGTGTGCATAAGTGCATGTTGTATGTGTGCATGTGTGCATGTGTGCATAAGTGCATGTTGTATGTGTGCATGTGTGCATAAGTGCATGTTGTATGTGTGCATGTGTGCATAAGTGCATGTTGTATGTGTGCATGTTTGCATAAGTGCATGTTGTATGTGTGCATGTGTGCATAAGTGCATGTTGTATGGGTGCATGTGTGCATAAGTGCATGTTGTATGTGTGCATGTGTGCATAAGTGCATGTTGTATGTGTGCATGTGTGCATAAGTGCATGTTGTATGTGTGCATGTGGGCATAAGTGCATGTTGTATGTGTGCATGTGTGCATAAGTGCATGTTGTATGTGTGCATGTGGGCATAAGTGCATGTTGTATGTGTGCATGTGTGCATAAGTGCATGTTGTATGTGTGCATGTGTGCATAAGTGCATGTTGTATGTGTGCATGTGTGCATAAGTGCATGTTGTATGTGTGCATGTGTGCATAAGTGCATGTTGTATGTGTGCATGTGTGCATAAGTGCATGTTGTATGTGTGCATGTGTGCATAAGTGCATGTTGTATGTGTGCATGTGTGCATAAGTGCATGTTGTATGTGTGCATGTGGGCATAAGTGCATGTTGTATGTGTGCATGTGTGCATAAGTGCATGTTGTATGTGTGCATGTGTGCATGTGTGCATAAGTGCATGTTGTATGTGTGCATGTGTGCATGTGTGCATAAGTGCATGTTGTATGTGTGCATGTGTGCATGTGTGCATAAGTGCATGTTGTATGTGTGCATGTGTGCATAAGTGCATGTTGTATGTGTGCATGTGTGCATAAGTGCATGTTGTATGTGTGCATGTGTGCATAAGTGCATGTTGTATGTGTGCATGTGTGCATAAGTGCATGTTGTATGGGTGCATGTGTGCATAAGTGCATGTTGTATGTGTGCATGTGTGCATAAGTGCATGTTGTATGTGTTAATGTGTGCATAAGTGCATGTTGTATGTGTGCATGTGTGCATAAGTGCATGTTGTATGTGTGCAGGTGTGCATAAGTGCATGTTGTATGTGTGCATGTGTGCATAAGTGCATGTTGTATGTGTGCATGTGTGCATAAGTGCATGTTGTCTGGGTGCATGTGTGCATAAGTGCATGTTGTATGTGTGCATGTGTGCATAAGTGCATGTTGTATGTGTGCATGTGTGCATAAGTGCATGTTGTATGTGTGCATGTGGGCATAAGTGCATGTTGTATGTGTGCATGTGTGCATAAGTGCATGTTGTATGTGTGCATGTGTGCATAAGTGCATGTTGTATGTGTGCATGTGTGCATAAGTGCATGTTGTATGTGTGCATGTGTGCATAAGTGCATGTTGTATGTGTGCATGTGTGCATAAGTGCATGTTGTATGTGTGCATGTGTGCATAAGTGCATGTTGTATGTGTGCATGTGTGCATAAGTGCATGTTGTATGTGTGCATGTGTGCATAAGTGCATGTTGTATGTGTTAATGTGTGCATAAGTGCATGTTGTATGTGTGCATGTGTGCATAAGTGCATGTTGTATGTGTGCAGGTGTGCATAAGTGCATGTTGTATGTGTGCATGTGTGCATAAGTGCATGTTGTATGTGTGCATGTGTGCATAAGTGCATGTTGTATGTGTGCATGTGTGCATAAGTGCATGTTGTATGTGTGCAGGTGTGCATAAGTGCATGTTGTATGTGTGCATGTGTGCATAAGTGCATGTTGTATGTGTGCATGTGTGCATAAGTGCATGTTGTATGTGTGCATGTGTGCATAAGTGCAAGTTGTATGTGTGCATGTGTGCATAAGTGCAAGTTGTATGTGTGCATGTGTGCATAAGTGCATGTTGTATGCGTGCAGGTGTGCATAAGTGCATGTTGTATGTGTGCAGGTGTGCATAAGTGCATGTTGTATGTGTGCATGTGTGCATAAGTGCATGTTGTATGTGTGCAGGTGTGCATAAGTGCATGTTGTATGTGTGCATGTGTGCATAAGTGCATGTTGTATGTGTGCATGTGTGCATAAGTGCATGTTGTATGTGTGCATGTGTGCATAAGTGCATGTTGTATGTGTGCAGGTGTGCATAAGTGCATGTTGTATGTGTGCATGTGTGCATAAGTGCATGTTGTATGTGTGCATGTGTGCATAAGTGCAAGTTGTATGTGTGCATGTGTGCATAAGTGCAAGTTGTATGTGTGCATGTGTGCATAAGTGCAAGTTGTATGTGTGCATGTGTGCATAAGTGCATGTTGTATGTGTGCATGTGTGCATAAGTGCATGTTGTATGTGTGCATGTGTGCATAAGTGCATGTTGTATGTGTGCATGTGTGCATAAGTGCAAGTTGTATGTGTGCATGTGTGCATAAGTGCATGTTGTATGTGTGCATGTGTGCATAAGTGCATGTTGTATGTGTGCATGTGGGCATAAGTGCATGTTGTATGTGTGCATGTGTGCATAAGTGCATGTTGTATGTGTGCATGTGTGCATGTGTGCATAAGTGCATGTTGTATGTGTGCATGTGTGCATGTGTGCATGTGTGCATAAGTGCATGTTGTATGTGTGCATGTGTGCATGTGTGCATAAGTGCATGTTGTATGTGTGCATGTGTGCATAAGTGCATGTTGTATGTGTGCATGTGTGCATAAGTGCATGTTGTATGTGTGCATGTGTGCATAAGTGCATGTTGTATGTGTGCATGTGTGCATAAGTTCATGTTGTATGTGTGCATGTGTGCATGAGTGCATGTTGTACGTGTGCATGTGTGCATAAGTGCATGTTGTATGTGTTAATGTGTGCATAAGTGCATGTTGTATGTGTGCATGTGTGCATAAGTGCATGTTGTATGTGTGCAGGTGTGCATAAGTGCATGTTGTATGTGTGCATGTGTGCATAAGTGCATGTTGTATGTGTGCATGTGTGCATAAGTGCATGTTGTATGTGTGCATGTGTGCATAAGTGCATGTTGTATGTGTGCAGGTGTGCATAAGTGCATGTTGTATGTGTGCATGTGTGCATAAGTGCATGTTGTATGTGTGCATGTGTGCATAAGTGCATGTTGTATGTGTGCAGGTGTGCATAAGTGCATGTTGTATGTGTGCATGTGTGCATAAGTGCATGTTGTATGTGTGCATGTGTGCATAAGTGCAAGTTGTATGTGTGCATGTGTGCATAAGTGCAAGTTGTATGTGTGCATGTGTGCATAAGTGCAAGTTGTATGTGTGCATGTGTGCATAAGTGCATGTTGTATGTGTGCATGTGTGCATAAGTGCATGTTGTATGTGTGCATGTGTGCATAAGTGCATGTTGTATGTGTGCATGTGTGCATAAGTGCAAGTTGTATGTGTGCATGTGTGCATAAGTGCATGTTGTATGTGTGCATGTGTGCATAAGTGCATGTTGTATGTGTGCATGTGGGCATAAGTGCATGTTGTATGTGTGCATGTGTGCATAAGTGCATGTTGTATGTGTGCATGTGTGCATGTGTGCATAAGTGCATGTTGTATGTGTGCATGTGTGCATGTGTGCATAAGTGCATGTTGTATGTGTGCATGTGTGCATGTGTGCATAAGTGCATGTTGTATGTGTGCATGTGTGCATAAGTGCATGTTGTATGTGTGCATGTGTGCATAAGTGCATGTTGTATGTGTGCATGTGTGCATAAGTGCATGTTGTATGTGTGCATGTGTGCATAAGTTCATGTTGTATGTGTGCATGTGTGCATAAGTGCATGTTGTACGTGTGCATGTGTGCATAAGTGCATGTTGTATGTGTTAATGTGTGCATAAGTGCATGTTGTATGTGTGCATGTGTGCATAAGTGCATGTTGTATGTGTGCAGGTGTGCATAAGTGCATGTTGTATGTGTGCATGTGTGCATAAGTGCATGTTGTATGTGTGCATGTGTGCATAAGTGCATGTTGTATGTGTGCATGTGTGCATAAGTGCATGTTGTATGTGTGCAGGTGTGCATAAGTGCAAGTTGTATGTGTGCATGTGTGCATAAGTGCATGTTGTATGTGTGCATGTGTGCATAAGTGCATGTTGTATGTGTGCATGTGTGCATAAGTGCAAGTTGTATGTGTGCATGTGTGCATAAGTGCAAGTTGTATGTGTGCATGTGTGCATAAGTGCATGTTGTATGCGTGCAGGTGTGCATAAGTGCAT